ATTCTGCAAGGCTGCTCTGGAGGCGACTGGCAGGTTGTGCCCAGCACCAGGGCATGGTGAAGGGCAAGTGGGGGCTGTGACCCAGCCATGCACCCCACAATGGGGCACCTTTTATTTCATTGGCACCAAGGCACTGAATGAGAAGAGAGGCATGTGCCTGTCCTGAGCTGGGCTGACACAGAGGAGGACCGAGAGGCTGATGCTGGGTAGGGGAAGCCCTTGACCCGGAGAAGGGTATCTGCAGAGAGGCAGATCCCCATGCGTAACGCAGTGGTGCTGTAGAAAGGTCCATGAGACCAGTAGTCATGAGGGGACAGCTGCCAGGTTCCAGGTCCCTGACTGTGATTTGCTTCATTTGTCATAAATAGATGCTCATGTGGGAATTTTGACCTTGGTGACTGCCTGTCTGGGATGTCATTCAGCACAGTATCCATAACAGAGTAGGCACCTAGTAGGTGTGAGTGGAAGTAAATTTAAATTGATGCTGAGCCTGGCAAGGTGACACAGTCCTATAATCCCAGTGGCTTGGATCCCCTCAGTGAATTAGCAAGCCTCTGTCTCAAAATTAAACAAACAAACAACAACAACAACAACAACAAAGAACTGGGGATTTAGTTCAGTGGTAAAGTACCCCTGGGTGCAATTTCCAGTACCAAAAAAGAAATATTTTTATTTTTGAATGGGGATAGGGTGCCTCCTCGCACGCATCCCTTCCCTGCCCTTCCTCTCCAATGCCCCGGATCAGATGGCAGCAGTTGTACCCGCTCCCTGGTGCATTTCCTCTCTGCCATGGGGCTGAATACCCCTGGAGCCTGCGTGGTTCAGTTCAGGAAGATGGAGAGTTTGGGGAGGGACACAGAGAGGACAGGGAGGAAGGCAGATGGACAGGGTTGTGTGAGCTAGCTAACTCTGGGTGAGGAGGGAACCTCCTCTCACACCTGCTGGCTGGTCTTGGACAGGCAGTGGGTCCGATTTCTGCACTGAGCTCCTTTTCTAAGGGAAAGCAGAGAATTCTAGGTCATGGCTAAGGTCCTGTGGTTCATCCCTGGACTGTGTTGCCCCAAAGTTAGCTCAAGAATCCTTCCAGCTGCTTCTCTTGTTTATGAATGACCTTTTGCTTATAGATTCTGGTCCTTCAACAGTTGTCCTGTGTCAGGGGCAGTCAGAAGGCCAAATCGCCAGAGAAAAATGACCTTTCTTATCCATCTTCACACCAAGCCTTCCTGACTCATGTCCATTTGGCATTGCCACAATGACCCATCTGGGGCTGCTTTCTATTTACCTCTGATACGATGTGTTTTGTGGAATGTGATTCTTGCCCTCTGGGACTTTTCTAAACCAAAAAAAAAGGGATTATGGCACAGTGGACACAGCTGCCTCAGGCTCCCTGRAGACCTGTTCCCCCCACTGCTCTATTCTTTAACCTAAAGCACAGGCTCTGTGCCGTTGCTTCCCCTGGGGACTGTCACCTGATTCCACACTCTCTGCAGGAGAAGGGAACCACCCACAGCCCACCTGGGCTCCCACTGCTTCAGGGATGCTCCACGTACCTGCCCAGGTTGGCCTACCTCCCACCCCTCACTCCAAACAGCCACACATCTGTCTTGTTCTGGTTTTGTTTGTTTRTTTAGGCTAGTGATGACTTAGGATAATCAAAAAGCACATTTTAGGAGATTTTTTTWAAAAATCAGAATTTCAGTAATAGCTCATCAGAGTTACTCGTTTTTGTCTATAATCCAACACAGCTATGCAGAATGAAAACGATAACAATTACAATGGAACAATTTTAATGTGCTTATATTTTGTCTCTTCAGTTTGGTTAACTTCCTAGAGGAGAAAGACAGTGTCTTAGACATCTCTCTCCATGTCTAGCATAGAACTGAACACGTAGTAGGTGATTGGTTTCCTGCCTATTGAATGAATCAATTTCTTCAGGCCATGGACACAAATTAGTCCAATGAACTCCAAGAGCGAGGTGTGGCATGTGGTGAGTGATGAAAGGGTAGCCAACACGGAGAGGGCTGGAACTGTGGAGATCTTCCTGCCTGGGCCAAAGGCAGTTCCCTGCAATTGTGCCCCCTGGGCACCTGTTAGAGAGGGCATTTCTGTGTGGCCATGATCACACCACTGCTGTGGGGAAATCCCCTCCACCTCTGCCTAGTCCTTCTCTGTCACCACCACCATCAGTGTCATCTCCATCACCATCATTACATCCTGCTGACACTCCCCAGCACAGGGCCTGGCCTACGGAGGGGAGGGGGGCACACAGTAACTGCCTCCAGCCTATGGTTTCTGAGCATGGCTGGGTTTAGTTCATGCTCCGGCATTTTCATGGGCACCTGGAAATCTGCCTTGGGTTTATCCTAAGTCTTTCCCAATTTGAGGATCCAGACTTTCCTACTTTGTAAAAGCTCTGTTATGGGTCCTCAGTAAGAGGCTTAGCTCTCCSGCACATTGGGGCTCACTCTCAGCCAGGCAGATGGGGTGCAAAAGTGAGCCCAGGACACTGCCATAATCAGAACCAGGTTTCTTTCCTTTGGGGATCCTGGGGTGAAGGGCCAGCTACTGGGGCTTCTAGAATAAGACAGCCCTTCAGGAAGGAGAAACTTTTTTCCTTCCCTCTGCCCATCMCTATTTTGGCTAAATTTGTCTCAGGACTCTGGAGTGATGTCTAATCTTAAGCAACAGCCTGACACAGGCCCCTGGTTCTGTGGCAGCCTCCCTTTCCCCTCACATCACACTTGACTCAAAAACATAAGAGCTGGGTGCAGTGGCACACGCCTGTAACCCCAGCGGCTCAGGAGGTTGAGGCAGGAGGATTATGAATTCAAAAGCCAGCCTTGGCAACTAAGCAAGGCCCTAAGCAACTCAGTGAGACCCTGTCTCTAAATAAAATATCTTTAAAAAGGGCTGGGCATGTGGCTCGGTGGTTAAGCATCCCTGGGTTCAATCCCAGGTATCAAAATTCAAAGAAAAGAAAAACATTATCAAAAAGGACTCAGCCCACATGGACTCAGCCTGCATGCACCAGGAAGCCGCTGCCTCTTTGCCTCTGTCACATAGCATGTGGTTAGGAACACGGGCTTTGACACCAGGTATACTTGAACTCCAGTCTCAGCTCTGATTGAATGGCTGCGTGACCTTGGGCAAGCTCCTTAATGGCACTAAATGCCAGTTTCCTCAACTGTAAATAAATTTAGCAATGTGAGGGCTGAATTATAGATCCACATATCGCCTGGCAGAATCCTGGCTTGGAAATGAAGTGAACCRTAGGCCTTCGCTCCTCTGTTAACATTATTACTGAGATCATCTTACGGCTGCCCCCACTGCTACTATGGCTGGAAGTCATTCTGTAACCCCTGCTCCTTTAAGGCAGCCCCTGTGATGAGCACCTTGGGGGATACTAAGCCCAGCTTTCAGGAGGCTCCTAAAACCCCATCAAAAGTAGCCACTCTTCCTCTGCAGCCTCTGTTTCATAATTCAGAGTGCCCTTCTGTTACTCTGGAGGTTTGGCTCTGGTTTAAGTTCTTGGTGCAGATCCCCCTCATTGGCCTGCAGGCTCCTTAGGGACTGGGACTATATGTCAGTCACTAYCCCACCCCACCCCCAAGGAATTTACATGATTTGTTGACATTCTCACACCAGAAAGGAGGCAAGCTAGCATCTGCCCAGCAGGAAGCACACATTCAACTGTGAACCCTCAATCAGGCTTAGGAAACCCCAAGCCATCATTTCAATTGTGCCCTCCCTGGCCCCAGGGTCAGGCCCTGCCAGGAATGCTGGGAGGCAGGTCCACTTCTGCTTCAGGGACTGAAGGGGAAGTCCTCTGAGGCAGGTTCCAGCCTCCCTATTTCCCTGCCTTGCTCATCCTTCCCCATCTGCACCCCAACAGTGGGAGCAGCTGTCTGCTATCTTCTGCCTGATGCCAACAGTCAAGGCCCCTGATAGAGTTATAGGCCGTGGTCAGTGTCCTGCAGTAGGGCAGCTACCACACACCTAGGTTTGAAATAATTTTTAAACATACCACTCCATTAGGACTACCTGAGCTATAAAGAGCTGATATTTCCTGTTTTAAATTGAGTGGCTCCTGGCAGTGATCAGGACATTGGCAGAGCAGCCCACCCTGATCCCAACAGTGGAACTTAGGGCTTCCCATAGGGGGCGTTCTACACAGGGAGAGATGAGCTGATGTCCAGCCCCTGCCTGGCTTTCCAGGATAGGACTGATAAGCTTATCCAAGAAAGAAAATTCCACTGGAGGAAATGCTGGCTGTCTGAAAAGCTTCTCACTGTTGAAAAAGCAACTTTGAGGTCACTACAAGCCAGACTGTCCCTGCTTAATACAGAAATCCCCAGACAACATCTCTGCAGGGGCTGAGGCAGCTGCTACCTGCTCCTTTCTACCCTCTTTCTCAAGTCCATTCCATTGCCAGACAGCTGTGGTCCTTAGCATGACCCTGAGAGTGGCTCTGCAGAGCTTCTTTCCAGATCTTTAAGGATACCTTTCCAAGAAGAGTCTCCTTTTCAAGTCTCCTTTTCTCTGGCTTAAGCACCTCAGCTCCTCAGCAAGAATGGATACCAGGAAGATGGTTTCCTTTGGGAACAAACCTGGAGTGTCCAGATGAGCCCTCTCTGGATAAAGCCACGCTTTCCTCCTGCTCCTTGATGATAGATAAGCAAGAAGGAGGCAGCGCTGGCAAAACAGAGCTGGGAGATCTCGGGAGGGGATAACTCTCCAGGCCCCTAATTAGGGAGCACAGATAAACTCCAAATTAGACCACTCCAGTGTGCAAGGGCAGCATGTTCCACTTGCTATCAGAAGGGCTTTGTTGCTGCAAAGGGCTTGGAGATCTTTGTTCTGCAAATTGCCCATGGCCCCCGGCCCTTCGGCAGGGGCAGGGGAGATGGCACAGAGCCGCCCTGTTCCGGGGGCCTGGGCTCGGCAGGGATAAAAGGAGGCAGCACTCTGGCTGCCCCAGCCTCGTGCTGTCTAGCCCCTGGCAACTGCGTTTCTCCCACTCTGTCGGCTTCCTCTTCCCCACCATGAGTCGGCAACTGAACTTCAGGTCTGGTGGTGACAAGGGCAACTTCAGCGTGCATTCTGCAGTGGTGCCAAGGAAGACAGTGGGCAACTTGGCCTCTTACCGCACTGTTGGCCAAGGGGCTGGGGCTGGCTTTGGCAGCCGGAGCCTCTACAGTCTCGGAGGGAATCGGCATATTTCTTTCAACGTGGCTGGCAGTGGCGTTCGGGCTGGAGGGTACAGCTTTGGGCATGGCTCTGGGTATGGAGGGGGCCGGGCCAGCGGCTTTGCTGGAAGTATGTTTGGCAGTGTGGCCTTGGGGCCCTCGTGTGCCTCTGTGTGCCTGCCTGGGGGCATCCACCAGGTCACTGTCAACAAGAACCTCCTGGCCCCCCTCAACGTGGAGCTGGACCCTGAAATTCAGAAAGTGCGTGCCCAGGAGCGGGAACAGATCAAGGCTCTGAACGACAAGTTTGCTTCCTTCATTGACAAGGTGGGTCTAAAGGAGGAGGAGAAGGTGGTTCAGTGAGGTAGGAGAAATTTCCTTAATGCCTGGGAAAGGGCTGGGCAACACGGATGGATGGAAGGGTGCAGCTGGGCCTCAGGAGGGGCTCCCTCATCATAAGGGACAGAGAACAGATTCATCAGACGTGCAAGGCAGGTAGAACAAAGGAATGAATGGATGAGCTGACTTCTTTGGGGATTATACAGAAAAGAGTGGGAAATTGGGCAGAGGGTAGCCCTACCTTGAGAAAGCAGTGGTGGGCTCCTGGGGACAGCTGGGTAGGTCCCCAGCTCTCTGAAGAACATGAAGGGCTAAGAGAATCAAATGCTGTTCAGAAGGCGAAACTCAGAGCACAGGAAGAAACACTTAGCTGAGATATGAAAGAAAATCTCTTGGGACCAGGGTGGGCAACAGAAGAAAGCTGTGGCGCCTTTGAGTTTTCAGGTACTGGTAGTCCAGAGGTGAGGGAGCGAGGACCTGTAAAGGGTCGTTTTTGCAGCAGATGCCAAGGTCAGTGAGTCAGAACTGGAGACAAATGACTTTACAAAAATCCCCTTAACCTGGAGAGTCAATGGCTCTCAGGGAGCCTGAGAGCATCCGTGTGGTTCCAGGTGGCCATTGGTTTGGGTTCCAGGTGCGGTTCCTGGAGCAGCAGAACCAGGTGCTGGAGACCAAGTGGGAGCTGCTGCAGCAGCTGGACCTGAACAACTGTAGGAAGAACCTGGAGCCCATTTATGAGGGCCACATCAGCAGCCTGCGGAAGCAGCTGGAGACCCTGTCTGGGGACAGGGTGAGGCTGGATTCGGAGCTGCGGAACATGCGGGATGTGGTGGAGGACTACAAGAAGAGGTGAGCAGGCCCTGCCAAAGGTCAGGGGTCATGTACCTAATCTCTGAACCACTTTTTTGGAGGTGGGGGAGTCAGCTCCAGGATCAGGAGCTCATGTCCCTTCTCTGGTTATGGCGGAAAGCCCCACCCTGTTTGGTGAGAAGGCCCTAGCTGGTGGATAGAGGGGCCTATGCTTATTGACCCAATAGTTTGGAAAGCCCCATGGGCACCTGGGTATTTTCCTAGGGTGCAGCAGAAGCACAGAAGTCAGATAACCCAGGGGATTCTTACCCCTACCACTAGCCTCAGTGCTCATCCCAGGGGGCTCTGCAGCCTGGGCACTTACCTGGCCGGCAGGAAGAAGAGACTACTTGGCTGAGAGGGCTGAGGCTTCTGCCATCTTCTCTCCCTGCCCGCAGGTATGAGGTGGAGATTAACCGGCGTACTGCAGCAGAGAATGAGTTTGTGGTGCTCAAGAAGGTGAGGAGAGAGGAGCCTGTGGTCTCTTCTGCCCCTMTCTTAAGCAACTCCGCTCAGGGCTTCAGCCCAGGCCACCTGGAGAGGGGGCTGGTGTCTGAACATGGTTAGGGTCCTAGTTCTGGCCTCCAGCAAGTTAGAGAGGAAGGACACACACAGGAGACAAGATAGGGACAGAAGGGAGAGAATTCTGGGATGGGAACAGGAAACCCTGGTTCAGCGTGCCCTTCTGTGTGACCTGAGGGCACTCAGCACCTCTCTGGACTTAGTGTTCTCCATATGCAGCAAAGGAAGTGCAGTCCCCACTGGCTTTGCCAGTTCCCAAAGATGCAGTGAGTCTGAGAAGAAACTGATGCTGAGTGATTCTGTTCATCAATGTGCTTCCCTGTGGGCAAATAATAATAATAATAATAATAATAATAATAATAATAATAATAACAATAATGTCATGTGGCTTTGGGACAGGGTCAGGGGAAGAGCAGCTAGTGGGGTTAGGGTTGTATTGATCCGTGGCTGTGGCTGTCCCTCTGCAGGATGCAGACGCAGCCTACACGGTCAAAGTGGAGCTTCAGGCCAAAGTGGACTCTCTGGACAAAGACATCAAGTTCCTGAAGTGTCTGTATGACRCGGTGAGGATGCCCCTCCCCAGCTCTGCTCTGTCTCCTTGCAGCTGAGGGCTTCCCCTGACTCTTCCAGGAGAGAAGGGGGTCACAATAGGGAGGGATGTTTTGGTGGCAAGGTGCAAATTCCTGCACTAGTTGACCATGAAAGTACAGCGTCCTGTCCCTGGAGTGCACCTAGGAGGCTGTGCACATAGGAGGCCGTTGATCTGGGCCATGGTAGTGGTCTTGCCCGCAGGCAGGAGAAATGACCCTGTGAGGTCCTACTAATGCACAGCTTCTTAGGTTGGGTGGAACTGTAGGGAATTCATTCTTCCTCCTGCTGCCTGCTGCTGTGAGCCGTTTTCCTTTGGCTCTTCAGACATCTTCAGCAGACACTACCCCACTTTGTCCCTGTGGAACCCAGTGACCCATTCTTCCAGGGAACACAGGCCTAGAAGACTCATGGGACACAGGAAGGAAGCTGGGGCCTTGACTCTGTCCTCATCTCTCATTCTAGGAAATCGCCCAGATCCAGACTCATGCTAGTGAGACCTCTGTCATCCTGTCCATGGACAACAACCGGGACCTGGACCTGGACAGCATCATTGCCGAGGTCCGCGCCCACTATGAGGACATCGCCCTGAAGAGCAAGGCKGAGGCCGAGGCCCTGTACCAAACCAAGGTGGGCACTGGGTGGGTCTCCCTCCTTCCTGGGAAGGGTGATCTCCACCTGTGAATGTGAGAGGTGGCCTTCCCAGGACACTGTAGATTCAGTGAAGAAGGGTTATAGCCAGTGGTTCAATGCTGAAAAGTCTCAGCAGACAGTATCATCAAAGATAAATCAGGAAACTGGTATGAATGGACGTACTCACTAGAGAGGGACAAGCAATCCTCAAAAGAGGAGAGAACGAGGTGTTCTTATTGTAAAACAAATGCATTTTCAGGGTTGGGGACATCTGCCATAGAGCAGAAGGAGAGTCACAAACAGAGTAGCTATAGTCACAAACAGAGTAGCTATAGAGGTTGGGTGGGGAGTGAGAGCAGGGGAGGCCCTGAGCTCTTTTCTGATGGGTGTGGGAAGATGTTCAAGAGCAAGTGAAATTCTAGGAGTGTTCCAAATAATGAAATTATGTGCTGGGTAAGACTCTTTGGGGCTGTCTTATGGGAAAATCCTTTCCCGGAATCTCCTCCAGGGCCTCTGCTCTCATGCTCCTATTCACACAACCATTAGATCCCACCTCTGCTAGTCAGCTTTCCTTCTCTGTAACAAAATGCCTGAGAAAATCAACTTACAAAAAGGGGAAAAGTTTATTTTGGCTCATGATTTCAGAAGTTTTAGTTAYTTGGCCCTATTGCTTTGGGCCTGTGGTGATACAGTACACTGGGAGGAGGTGTGGGGGTAGATATGGCAAGGAGGCTGCTCATGGAAGAAAGCACAGAGAGGAGGGACCAGGGTCTCCATATCCTGCCCAAAGGCACACCCCCAAAGACCTAACTTCCTTCCACTAGGCTCCACCTTCTACACTTCAGTAGCACCAAGCTGAGGACAAAGCTTCTTGRGCCTTTGGGGACATTCCAGATCTAAACTATAGCACAATTCACAGCAAAAATGGGGGTGTCGGCCATCTRCATGTCTTATCCTGTCTCTTGTCCTGTCCATGGCCATGCCATTCCCTGTTTCCCAGAGGACTGGGCACAGGGAAGAGTRAAGCCACTAATTCCACCCATCCTGCACTGTGACCCCCTCAAGGGTGCATGGAACCCTGGGCTTCCCTCCTCTCTGCCCCCCTGACCAAGAAAATGCCACAGGAGAATGCAAGACTTAGGAGGATGGGGACCTTACCTGTCCCATTCACTGCTGGGTACCTGCGACAGAAGCTGGCCTTTAAGAAAATGCCTGTAGGAATATGTGATAAATGAATGAAGGCAAGGGCCAGGGCTCTTCTCACGCTGGGAAGTGCTTAATAAATGTGAGCTGCATCTTCTCCTTACCTAGCCCAGGAAGGACTGCAGGCCAGGTGACAATACAGGGACAGGGATTGCAGATAGGTTCTGCTTAGAGAACAGGGTGAACTTCTGGGTCAGAGCTGTAAGGATGCCCAGGTGCTAGTTCCTTTAGCACCTGCTCTAGAGTCGCCCTGGCTCAGCTTGGTAGAGGGGGTGTTTGCCCAGGACCCCTCCCTGCCTGTCTCATCACTCCCCTCCCACCTCTGGAACACTAGATCCAGGAGCTGCAGCTGGCAGCTGGCAGGCATGGAGATGACCTCAAACACACCAGGAACGAGATGTCAGAGCTAAACCGACTCATCCAGAGGATCCGCTGTGACATTACCAACGTGAAGAAGCAGGTGGGCAGCTACTACCCTGCAAAGACCACTGAGACTGAGTTTCCTTTCTGTGATGGAGATACTGGGGTCAACCTTTAAGAAGAAGCAAGTTCCCTCTCCTGGGCTTAGGAGCCCCTGGGACATTACAGTTCCTCTCCCCCACCCTGCCTTGTGTCGCTGTCATCAGGATTGGGAGGATTTGAGCCTATTCTCCCACTCCCCCAGTTTACAGATGAGTCAAGAGGGACTGGAGGAATTGACTTGCCATGGGCCCCAGCTAGTCAGTATTGGGGTCAGGATTCAGGTCCACGTGTCCCCTTGCTCAGAATTTCTCTGTGTCTAACACACCTGCCCACGAGTGCTCAGGTATGCCCCTCTAGGAGTTTCCTGTGTGCCTCCTGCTTCCAATGGGCATGGAACATGGATGGGGAGTATGTGACATGTRTAGGGCCCTCTGTGGCCATGTCAAGTTCCTGCCCTCAGGGCGGGGCATGATCCTGGTGAAGGAGGCTCATGGCAACACACGAAGCCCTCCTGGATCCTCTTCCCTGTCCACGGGACCATTTCCATTTTCCCCAAGGGACCCTGTCTTATGTGAGAGTAGCAAATCCTAAATGCTATTTCATAGGCTGATGACCTTAGAGGCAGACAGATGCTAAATGGGGCATCCAGAAGAGGCCAGGTCAGCTGGCAAGTGACAGTTAGCCAACAGGCTAGAGACCATTATCCTCCCTGTGCCCCACAACATGCATGCAATGTAGGGGGCTCAGGGATAGCTTTAAGGCCCACAACTGGCTGGTTCACAGACTCCATGAGGACTGCTCCTCCTCCCCTGCTAGTACCTGGCATTACAGTGGCCCGGGTGCTTGGCAGATACCAGCTTTTGAGGTTTTGGCTGTAAGTTAGGGTCGGCTGTTCTAAGGAAAAGTGACCTCCCCCATTCAGGTCACATGCAGGAGCAGTTAGGCAGACCCTCCCTGCAGAGTGCGGGAGGAATCCAGACACACTCTTGCTGCTAACAGGAAGGAGGGTGTCCAGCCACAGTGGGGCCCCTGGGCATGCTGCCTATCATTAGGGGTGAGCTRCTTGGAGACTTAGGCATGATTCTCCTCATCTGTTGTTCTTGACCCTATAGCATTGGTAGGCTTCAATCTCTGGAATTAGACAGCTTTTTCAAGCACTGAGTTTTCTTCCTGTCCTCCTGAAATGCACCTGCTCCTGTGGCTTCCCAGGACAACTCCTTTAAACATTCATCCACAGTAAAAAGTAGAGGAAACTGGGAGCAGTGGCACGCACCTATAATCCCAGTGACTCAGGAGCTSAGGCAAGAAGATTGCAGGCTCCAAGGCAGACTTGGCAAGTTCAAAGCGAGCCTGGACAACTTAGTGGGACCCTGTCTCAAAATAAAAAATAAAAAGGGCTGGGRATRTGGCTCAGTGGTAAAGTGCCTTGGGCTCAATTCTCAGTATTCCCCMCACAAAACACACACAAAAGAGGAGCCCCATGTTCTGGTGTTGGCTCTGGCTCTTCCTAGCTGTCACCTTGGGCCTCATCTGTAAAGAAGGAGTCGGGCTCCTTAACCCGTGTGATCTCAACATTGTTTTATGCTGATCTCCTCTTCCTCTGCCCCTCAGTGCTCTAACCTGGAGACATCCATTGCGGATGCTGARCAGCGAGGGGACAATGCCCTTAAGGACGCCCGGGCCAAGCTGGATGAGTTGGAGGGAGCCCTGCACCAGGCCAAGGAGGAGCTGGCCCGGATGATGCGTGAATACCAGGAGCTCATGAGCCTGAAGCTGTCCCTGGACATTGAGATCGCCACCTACCGCAAGCTGCTGGAGGGCGAGGAGTGCAGGTAAGGGGCACAGGACAGCACTCTGGTCCCGAGCAGGAGGGGCTGTGGACTCTCCATCTGGCTGAGGGGCTGCTGGGAACTAGAAGATGAGAAACGATAGTGCTGGTGACATCGCAGTTGGGGGGGTGGGTTGCAGGTGGACTCAGCTACAGGGTCCTGCCGGGGTGTCAGATGTGGGTCAAGTGTGCAGGTTGGTGGTTGTGGTGCCTGAACATAGCCCCTGGGGTCAGACAGGCCTGGGGGCAGTGACTGGCTGTGCCACATCCCAGCTGTCTGATCCTGGTAAGTCCTGCCCTATCTCCATTTTCTCATCTGTAAGATAGAGGTTCTAATCTCCATCTGAGTTGTTATAAGGATGGATTAAAATGATTACACATAAGAACAAGAGCCCATTAAGGCATAGCTGAATCTAGACCCTGAGGTTTTATCCTTTATTTTTCCTGTCTTGCAGGATGTCTGGGGAGAATCCATCCTCTGTTAGCATCTGTGAGTATCCTTGGGAAAAGGGGTTGGGCTGGGAAAGCCAGGGACCCTGAGACACAGAGGTGATGCCACCTTGGCTTGTTGTCTCACTTCATCTGGAAGTTTCTGTTACTGCCTTGTGAAGTTTCTCTGGCTTCAGAGGAGGCCTATTCCCTCTTGTCCCCTGACAGCAGTGACTGAAATCATGTCTACCCCTCCCTGCTGGCTCCTCCCTGTGGCACTGTCATCTAGAGGAAAGGGTGGGAATAGGGATGTCCAGGAGGGCAGGGTCCTTGTCTATCCTGTGTGTCCTCCCTTTACATCTAGCAGGTGACAGGTTCTCAGTCATAGTTGTGTGTCTTGACTGAAGACCACTGTCGTGGGATGAAACAGGGAGTCCTCAGAGGAGACAGCAGTTACTGTAGGGGGTCATCCTTGGTTAACTGACACCTGCTTACCCCTCCCCTGCTCTTGGCCCTTCCTCCTCAGCTGTCATCAGTAGCAGCCATTACGGTTACTATGGTCACCAACCTAGCTCCGTGAATGCTGACCTTGCGGCCGGTGGTGCCAGCAGCACCAGAAGCAGCCAGACCAAGACCCCAGGGACACGAGCGGGAGACCTCAAGGAGTCCCAGGGCAAGAGTGCCCCAGCCAGCACCCCAGCCAGGAAGACCACCCGATAAGCCCACTGCCCTGCTCACCTCAGCACCTGGAAGAAAGGATGCCTTGGCCAGAGCCAAAGATGCCTGTCACGCCTGAATCCTCTGTCTCCGAATTCTAGGACTGTCTATAGTTCACTCAGCTACCCACATCACACCTCATCTTACTTTCAAGTGCTTGTCAATGGTCACCCTCGTGTGTCAGTAGGTCCCGTGCAGAGCTGGGGACTTCTCACTCTCCCCAMTGCCTTCAGCTGGCAGGAGGCTTTGGAAGCCCAAGCCATGATCAGCCCAAGGAAGGAATGGTCATGCAGAGAGGGGCGGGGGGAGGGAGGAAGATAGATTTTCTTCTGCGCTTAGGTCAAGTTCTCCATTGTCCAAGAGGTTTTGCTACCCCTGCCAGCATGGTGGGGTGAACCCCGAGCTGTGSGACCAGAAGGTGAGAAGTAAGACAGCCTTCCGGTCCCTGCCCTTCTGGAAAGGTCTTTATGGCCTGACTATTATTTAGTAGAAAATGTATACATTCTCAGACCTCAAGGTGCACCCCTATTCACAAAGCCAAGCGAAGGAGACCTGGGGATTTTCCACCCCTGTGTCCCTGAGCCACTCACCGCCCTTTTAATCCATGGTTACGTCCACCACAGCACCTACTGTGCACCAGGCACCCTCCATGTGCTGCCTCTAGTCAGCCCATCCTTGAGGAAGGCACAGTCAACATCCTTGGGGCAGACAGGGGCCTGATCCTCTGAGGGCTGCAGAATGTGTCCCAGTTACCCATCTACTTGCCGGCTCAGGCCTGGCTGAYTCAGGGGTCCATGCTCTTTCCATAGGATGTCACTGCCTCTTTAACAGAGGGAGAGTCAAGTTCATGGTTCTGATCAGGGCTGCAAAACCACGCTGCCTTTTGTCAGGATGTGATCCATCTTTGGCTCTTCCTCTGGGGCTGGGTCCTATGGTGGCTTCTGACTCTCAGTTCCTATTGCCATGAGTCTAGTGAGTGGACTTGAGTTTGTCTCTAGGTGGTACCACCCAGCCAGCAGTCGTGGTGTGTGACGTAAATATTGCTAAGAACGGCATCACCTAGTCCCACTGTGTTTGAATTAAGGACTCTGAATTTCTGCTGTGTATTCAATAAACTGCCCTTGAGTGATGTCAGAGGCGCACTCCTGTCAGCTCGTCAGTCTCTCCAAATGTCCCACCCTCTGATGATGGCTCCACCTGCCCAGGTTCCGAGGTGCTCAGTAGGTGACCTCAGGCTGCTGGGAGAAACAGGTGCACTGTACAAACCAGGGGAAGGTGGCTTAGTGCCACAGTGCTAAGGGGTGACCAAAGGGGGAGGCTGGTAAGGGAAGAGGAGAGATCCATCGGTTCATCGGAAAGGAGCTCTTTAGGCATGCCATCACTGCAGGCCTGGACGTGGGTTTCATATGCTTATTGGCCGAGGGCTGGGAAGTCTCAGATTGTCTGAAATCAGTGGTGGGGCTGGGTGTGTTTCCAAGTCTCTCAGCTTTGGCTGGCAGCATTTAGCTTCCTAGTCAGCTTTCTCATCAGTCTGTGTTACAAGAATGCTCAGAGGCCTTTGCTCCTACAGGCCTCTGGATGATGGTGCAGGGGTGAGAGGCAGGGGTTTTCTGGGCCCAAGAAGAGGCCTCCATTCWCCTCCTTGGGCCTTGGCGTATTTAGGAATCCCTGAGGGCACAGAGCACAGGAATCTGGTGGGCTTTCTGCCCAAGTGCCTCTCTTTGATGTCACTGCTGTTATCACTGTGGGTACTAGACTAGTGCCCTAGGGACTATGGGAGTTCCATCCAGCTCTGCCACTAGCTGGTCACCTCAGGAGTTCTTAACCTTGTGGGTCAGGGACCCCTTTGAGATCTAATGAAAGCTCAGAGTGTAGTGAATCGTGTCTGCATGTTCAGAGGTTCATAGACTCCCAGGGCCCATCGTGGCCTCCTTGAGTCCTGCACCCCAGGGTAAGGGTCTCAGGACCAGATACCCCTAGGGTCTTTACAGGACTAATCACTCGGAGTTTCCAAAASACCAAACTCCCAGTGAGTGACCCAGTAAGAGGGGCTATAGTAGCAGGGGTTGTGAATGGGACTCGMAACCTGAAATAGCATTTAGAGGAATACACAAGCCATTGGTAAAGTCACTTCCTTGATCAGGTCACCTCTTCTAAGGTCTCAAGGCAGGTGTGCCTCAGACTGCTGGATGCACCTGCCCTGGTGTGGCTRTGAGGCTGGAGGGCTACATCCGGTGCACAGGGGAAGGGCCAGGGCTAAGTAGATGTGATGCCCTGCGTGCTCCCTTGGTGTTGAGGAGGACRGAGGGGCTGCCTCCTGGGCCACCTAAACTACCTGCCAAATGGACACTCTTCAACATCTGGGCTTAATTAAGTTCCTGAGAGGTACATAGAGTGACTGTGTTCCTGCTTAAGGACTCAGCTTGGATATTTCCCTGAATGTCAGGAGGAGAAATCAWGAGGCAGGACCAGAGGTGAATGTTAACTTCAATTAAAAACACATATGGCTATTTTGACAAGGATGCAAAGACTATTCAAAGGGACAAAGATTCTTTAATAAATGGTCCTGGGACAATTGGGTATCCATGTGCCAAAAAAMCCACGTTGTGCCCTTACTTCACATCACATTCAAAAATGAGTCACAATGGAGTAACAATTTAAATATAAGAGCTAAAATCGTAAAGCTCTTAGAAGAAAATCCAGGAGTAAATCTTCATCACTTTGGATTTGACAATGAATTATTAGTTGTGATACAAAAGTTTAGTCACAAAAAATAAAATGGATACATTGGACTTCGTGAAAGTTAAACACCTTGTTCATTAAAGGACAGTGTCCAGAAAGTGAAAAGACAACCTACAGAATGGGAAARAATTGCAAATTATTTMTCTAATAAAGGTCTCTCCAGAATATATGAGGAAATCTTAGAATTCAAGAAGAGGAAACAAGCCAGTTAAAGAATGGGGGAAAGAACTTCATTAGACGCTTATACGAACAAGACATACAAATGGCCAGGAGCAGAGGAAAAGGTGTTCAAGGTGATTAGTCAATAAGGAGGTGGAACTGAAACCCACAGCAAGGTATCAATTTACACCCACTCGGCTAACTATAATGATAATCAAAAAAATAAACAATATTGGTGAGGATGTGGAGARGTTGGAACCCCTTTATGTTGCTGGTTGGAATATCAAATGATTAGCCTCTGTGGGAAGTAGTTTAGCAGGTCCTCAGAATTGCCACATGACCCAGCAGTTCCACTCCTAGAGATATATCCAAAAGAATTAAAATCGGATGTTCAAACAATAAATGCACACAGGTTCAGAGAAACACTACTCCTCATTGCCAAAGATGGAAACAGCCTAAATGTCCATCAAGAGTGAATGGCAGGAAAATTGTGATTATATATATATGTATTTTATATACATATATGTGTGTATATATACACACATATATATTATACACACACACACACACACACACACACAATGGAATATTACTTAGCCATAAAAAGAATGCCATCTTGATGCATTCTTCATTGATAAAACTCAAAATTATTATGCTAATTGAAAGAAGTCAGGCAAAAAAAGATCACATATTGTGTGATCCATTCATATGAAATGTCCAGCTGAGACAAAGTCAGACAGGTTGTAGGTTGGCGGTTGCAGAGGTAGGCAAAGGGGTGGGTGGGGGTGGGTTACCAATGGGTGTAGAATTTCCTTTGGGGGTAATGGAAATGTTCTGGAACTAGACAGAGGTACTGGGACAATGTTGTGAATATACCAAATGTCACTGAAATATTCAATTTAAAATGGTTCATTTTATGTAAATCTCATCTAAATAAAAAATAAAAATAAAATTTGGAAGGATAGCAGAGAAGCCATGTCCCTGGACTGTGCCCCCAGCCTTTCCCATATGGCACATGAAAACCTGGTATAAAGGTAGATAGAGCCATCCAGAGCCAAAAAGGGACAGAGACAACCTACCCTTTATTTGACTGGCCCAGGACAAGCCTGGAAGTCTTGGGGGCCTCTGAGGAGCTGGACTTCTAATGGCCAAGAGCTGCCCATCCTCTGGACATCTCTGTGTGGTCYAGATAAGTGCAGCCACAACTCTGCCAGCAAATGAAAGGCTTGTTTAACTAACTGCTGTGTCTCAGGCTTTGGTCAAGGAGAACCATTCATAGCCCTGTGTGTCCATCATCGCCCTTGATGGATGTTGKTGAGTTGAAGCAATTGAAGCCCAAGGAATGGCAATATCCCTTTCCTTAAACTCCTAAGGCCCTGGCCTCTGCATTACTTGGACCAGGATTTTGAATCTCTATCTTGCTGAAGATCCCAACCCCACTCTATCTTGCTTTCTAGCTAAAGTGGGCACAGATGTTGCAGGAACCTTCTCTCCACCTGGGATTGAACAAAAGCTACAAGTCTCAGCAATGGCAGACCTCTAATCATGGAGAAATCCTTGAAGGCAGTCTGTGCCTTCCCCTGTCCCTGTATGCAGCAGGTMCTGGCACAGAATGCAGCTCAGCAAATGTTGAATGGACACATAAGATGCCTAGTCACAGTGCTGTGCATGGTCCCCTGGAACCTCATCTATCCTTCCTGTAGCTTCTCCCTGTGCCTCCTCCTCGGCCATGGTCTTCCCATTTTCTGATCTTACAAATATTCTCCATGTTTCAAACTTAGGGTATCGGGAAGCTTTAACTGAGCATCTGCATTTGTTGGTGGAGAAAGTCTCATTGAAAAGTATCTTTTGTTAAAGAAAATGTATATACACACACACACATACACAATGGAATATTACTCAGCCAAAAAAAGAATAAAATTATGGTATTTACTGATAAATGAGTAAAACTGGAGACTATCATGCTAAGTGAAATAAGCCAAAAATGAAAAAAAAGGAGAAAAAAAGAAAAATAAACAAAAACAAAACAAAACAAACAAGCAAAAAAAAAAAAAAAACACCAAAGCCTGAATGTTCTCTCTGATATGAGGATGCTAACACAC